AATATACAAACTGATGTGTACAAACAGCTAACAGACCAAATAAGGCTAATCAGACACCAGTATCTGACTTGGATACCTGGAAGCACAACATTGGACAAAAAGTCCAGCAACATCATGCTTTAGAAACCAATACTGATCAAAATCCAGGCAAGAATGATTGAAAGGAAATATTCCTCGCTTATAGGTAAACTAAGTAGGTAACAAGGAGGAAACTGAAGAAGGCATTGTGTCGTTGATGCTGGCTGCTAGCTGTCCCGTCAGTCTGTCAGTCGGTCAGCTGTTACTGACCTCCACACTCAATATAAACACAATACAACTGTCAATCACAGAGCCTATAAGGACCAAGTCAGCGATTCCACTGTATGTTACAGCTTCTCATCCTGTGTCTTCACAATCATTTCAACAACACACCAGGTGCCACATTTACTAAAAGTCTGTGGGGGCGACAATGCATCAATATGCATAAAACTCTGTCAGGGCACAAAAGAGAGAATATGACAAGTCAAATTGACTTGGTTAACTGATTTACTATGAAGGTATGCAATGTAGTTTATGCCAAGGAGAGATAGCTGCTGCAGGAATAAGAAGAATGTACAATTCAACAGAGGAACTGTTGAACCACATAAATTCATTAAAGAATGAGTAAGATTCGGAAAACACCAGGCTTTAGGTGACTGCAAGTGGTAAAATCAAGACACTGTGGCAGACAGCAGTGCACACTGATGCCAACTAAAGTTGAGAGAGCACAATTTTGGATATCAGACTCATGGATATCAGTAAAGAACCATCGTCCCATAGTCCATTGTTCTAGAAGATTTTCCACTCAGCATCCTGTCACACTCAGATACTACTTAGTGTCACACACACTCGACTCCACACCATCTGCAAAGCCCTTCATCCCACCTCACAACCACCATCAACTACCTGAAAACACACAGCTTCTAAAGCTCCAGGACTCGGCCATGTTAGCCTACGGTTACATGAGTGAGGAGAATAATGTTGCATACAGATAACTAATACAAACTGAAAACTGAAAGGACACAATTTAGTAGATCCTGGTGCATTCAGGGACTGTCTAAGCTCATACTATTGAGTTTGACAGTCATATATCCAGCTGGTCAGGATGTTGTAGAGGAAATGTTAAAAAAAGATTCATGAGAAGATACAGGATAGTTGAAGAAAAGTCTGTGCAAGTACCAATAATGATGCATGTTATGCAGGTCATATAATACTACAATAGACAGGCTAGAGATTAGATTATTTAATTTAACATCATAACATTGTCTTAACTGTTAATAATTACATTTCTTCAAATGTTCATAAGTCTCTATAGTGTAGTGGACAGGTATAAAAGTACCAATAATCACAAACAGTCACTGAGCTAGTGAAATAGTCGGGGTGAATGGATCATATACAGACTAAAAGAATACTAAAGAATAAAGTATACATATTAGGTTTGTAATTATTACAAAAGGGAAGATGGACAATGAAACATAATTAGTGCTTTTAAAATATTTTTTTATTTTCCTCACTAAAAATCAAAACTTGGATTCTAATTTGGTCAGTGTATCTCTTGGTCATATTCTTTTCTTTTCGGTAAAGGGTATAAAAAAAAACAACAATGACTAGTCATTCATTTTTGTTTTGTAATACAAAAATTTAAATTGAAATACAAGGCTTTTTCCTTTTTCATGGCTAAAAAGCAATGAGAGAATATGCTTTGAACTCATATTCTGAGCCCCTGGTTCCCCTTGGCTGCAAGCAGTAGTTAGCTTGACTGGATTTGAAGGACCTTGTTTTCACTAAAATCATATCAGAGAGATCCAAAGACATTTTAGCCTGGGATCAAGCAGCACTGGCACATCGGCAATCCTACATTTGGCACTTTTGCGGTCTCAGAATATGAAAAATAAAATCAAACCATGTTTTAAAAATTGTCACATTGTGACCATGAAAAAGACAAATACCTTGTATTTAAACTTAAATTTGAATGAAAATCAAATAACCACTTGTTTGCTCTTTTATTACCCATTTCTGAAATGAAAAACTGAAAATGACCAAAAGGTAACCTGACCAAACTGAAACAGATTCAGTAAGCGGAGTCTTAAAGAAGTCTCTAAATACTCAACTATACACAACTACAACTTGAAAATATTAAATCTTCTTGCAGTCCCATCATTCCATTGATGTTATGACACTTTATGAATGTATGTTTATATTTATATAATTTAGAGGGGTATTAAGTGGAGTGCTGCTTTAAGCGCTTCCCTATTAAAAAAGTTTATAATTTTAAAGTAAGGGGAAATTTAGGGGAATAAAAAAACATATTTATTTATTATAGTATATTATATCATTAATAAACACTTAATTGACATCTATTGGGAGCTTCAATCCATGTCTATTAGTGCTGTAACTGGCTTCAGAAAGCCTAACAGGTCAGATCCCACTAGCAGTCGAACTCCAACCCCTCCACCATCCCCCACATCTTCCTCTGGCTGTCTATCAATTGTGCTGAGTTGAATTGTTTCTTTAATCCTCTCAAGTCTAACTAAATCCAATCTCCCACCTCAAACTCATCCTTCACACCTCCCAGAATAATCCAGGCCACATTGCAATGTCTTTCTCATTGATGCTCTTTCAACAGGCTGTGCTACTTTAATCTTTAAACACGTGTCACTGTAAAAACAAAAGAAAGACAGAAATAACACATGCATAATTTTTGCAGGATGTCCATGATGACAATGACACCCACATCAGAAGCAAAAACCATTATAATTTACTGTTAACAACTTAACAATGTGCCCTTTTGTTTCATTCTTTCTCAAATAACTTCCTCAAACTTAACAAAAGCAAATCTTGTACAGCAACTGATTTAGGCTCCAACAACATCATACAAGGTTGTACCATAGCCTCATCAGGGCTGGCTGCAGGTTGTGTATAAATCACCAGGGTGCCTGCTTAAATCTTTCAGAACACACACACACATACACGAGTTAATGAGCCCCCAGTGAAAAGCTGCTGTCACCATTTAGTCTGCATATATTCTTAAAGAAGTGTTAATGGCTCAAAGTACAGGCAGCTTCCTACCGCAATCTTTTCACTTAATCTTAATCTGAATTCAGTCTTTTTACAATGATATCATTATTTTTCTAAAGTAGAGGAGGTCCCCAATGAAGTTCAGAACCAGATCAGAGGCTGTTTCAACAAGACATTTTCCTGAGCTATCCATCATTACAGTGTGCAGATTCTATTTTTTTGGCCATGGTATTTCTTCAACCATGTCAATGACAAAAAAATCAGCCAGACCACTCTAGATGTATCTTTGTCGTAGTTTATTAAAACAACATTTCCACTGTTAACATGGCTACTTTTATATTCTTATTCTTCTTAATAATGTTCTTCTTCTGAAGGATTCTGATATTTGTAATTTTTCGATAGCAATCCTTACCGTCTAGAAAAGCCAAAAAAGAATATTACGTACCGTTTAGCCTCTGTGTTGACTTTAAAGAGACTGTACAGTATGGACAGAAGGTAATAAATCCCTGTTCCACTAAATCCTGTATTTACGCATTACCACACTACAACATGAGGCCTGACCTCAGCACTCACACATTCACTTTTCTATAGACTGAAAAAAGTATGTGGGTAGGTTTCATACATATTTAAATAACCAAACTAAAAGTTTACTTTGTGCTTAACTAAATTTGTATGGTCATGTTGTCACTGGCTGGAAAGCACTGGGCCTCACTGCAGTAAATGGCATGCTTTAGTGTTCTGCTGCTTCTTCTAGAAGGTATTACTGTCTGATTCACACATGCAAACACACTCTAGGCAGTAACATGGAAAGCATCACCTTACCATGTTGGCTCAACTCATACACACACTATCACACCCTATATTCTAAGTTACAGTTTCATTTTGTAAGAAAATATGTATTAAAAATACTGGAGTGACTGGAACATGGCAAACTGTGGGACTTACAGTACTAGTAGGGGACAGGAAAATTAGGCAAATATATCCACTTTTGCAGGGTTAAGTATAAGTATTACTAATAGTAAGACATTATATACAAAATAAACAGCTGGAGGTGTGGTATGAAGACAGTTTATACACTATAGATCAAATATAGTATAAAGCATAGCATAAACACTTATAGGTATGTGAGAGCACATATAGTGCAGGTAAGTGTGAGCAATTAGCCAGTTAGGCATTCTATGGTTTTCTATTCTATTCCATTCTACTCAACCAAGGCCCCATTCCCCAAATGCAGACCATCAGTTTACAATGGAACTACGATAAACTTCACCTCAAGATGCTTTTGAGAAACTGGGCCCAGCAGCCTGTTGCATCAGTTGTGTGTAAGTTCAAACTTAGCCTAGTTATAACTTTTGCAACACAGTAATCCAGTAGAGACCAACATTATTAATATGGTTTATCAATATTTGATGTGCTACATTGACAAGTAAGTCATGCCAGCCAGAAAACTAATGCATGTAACCGTGGCGATGGAACTCTATCTTTGATCGTTGACTGGCCACTGACTTTAGTCCAAATGCCTTCAATTTGTTCTGCAGCAATACAAGACAATAAAATACTATGTCTGCATCTCCTCAGTATACTATTTAAAACTATCTCCAAAGATGAAGAAGAAGAAGTGCGCCTGCCAGAGAATGCATGCTGCCTGTTAAAGTTGTTAACCAATTTCCCCTGGGGGTTCAATACAGTATATCTGATTCTGATGCCAAATGCCAAACTAAAATTAAACATTAAAACGTGCCTGTGTGTATGTATGCTGGAGAATATTATGATATCTTTTCAGCCAATACAATAACCAATAATGATATGCTTCTTATAATTGAAACCCATAAGATAACTTATTATTAAAAATGTTTGTGTTTAAAAATAAGTTCATACACACCTGATGTGATGGTATAAGACTAACTGAAGTGAGCAAAGATGGATGATTTAATATTCCATAGCTCTGATCTAACCAAATCTTGACATACCTAGTGTTAACACAACAACAACAACAACAACAACAAACAGCAGTTCTGGCTCTTCAAATGCTCATTTATTTATTCTAGTAAAGTACATCAAAAACATACGTTGGCTTAGAAAATAAAGCCTAAGAAACGTTTTGTATAAGAACTCAAACAAATTCATCAGCATTATGGATAATGGATAATTTATCGGCTATAATTTAACTATTAGACTAATGCATAGTATAAAATTCCCATTATCTACCAATAAACCGATATATAACAATCGTACATCCCTAGATAATATACATAATACAAACCCTGGTTCTGGTCTGCCAATGGGCTGACATCAATTCACTTCAACCCTAACCCTAACCCAAGTGACCATTTTCCAATGGCTGCAGACTGACTAAAAACTCACTGCCCCACAACGACACAGCTACTCCACTGTGAGTGGAAGAAAAACATTTAATATCTTAAAACATTTTTGGAAAATTGTAGGAAGTAAAATGAAGTACAAAATACACTGGTATCATATTTAAGCAATGCAGAATTGAAATTCACTGATTTGTAATTAAGTTAGGTTTTCTTCCATACGAGAAAGGGACCCACCGGAGTTTGACAACTTCTAACATGTAACGGTACGTAGCTATCATACAGCAAACACACCAAGTTACACAATTAACGCTAGTAACAGTTCTCCTTTTAACTAGAGCTTACTGTAGTTTGTGTATAACTGTATTTGAGTCTGAGAAAGATGAACTGATATCTGACAACCAACTGCGTCAATCTCAACATCATCTCCATCGCATGTCACTGTTGCTACAGGGTATTTATCGTTGCCGCTACCACACCAAGCACACTGAGCAGTTAGCCTGGGAAGTTAGCTACAGAGCATGGCCACTCGTTTTAGCTGTCAGCTCGCCATTCACTTGTGAACCAGCTAACGTTAGGTTCGCAACTACAGAAAAAATTGCTTTTGTCACATCAAATAAAGACAAACGTCCACTATGTCGCTGGCGTTATGAAATGAGAGGTGGAACTGTCAGATTAGCCACCGCTGCTAACCTGACTGTACTATTAAACAGTCACAACTTGTTACTAACTTAACATCTTGCTAATGTTTGATGACGTTATCTAGTAATAAACAGGGACGACAGTTGTGTCTCACACTCACAGAACATCACCAAACCGCCACAACAGCAAAAAAGGATACAGTTTGAAGCCCTTCAAAATTTCCTTGGCCCTGTCTTCGTCTGAAGACATTTCAGAAATCGTCTGCTTTCGTTCCTTACAGAAAACCCAGGATCAAATGAAATAACAAAGCTGCTGTTGATTGTAAATTGGCAAGTTAGCCAACTACACTGCCAGCTAATGCTTGCCTGAAAAAAGCATAAACTATGTGTACTTAACTCTATATTGTAGGACTGCAGGTTAAGTCTGATCCGATAATGCAATCAGCTTAATATACCCAGCTAACTAACAGACAGCTAGCCTAGCCAGTCAAAGACACAGGCTAACTCTTAACAGCCAATCATAGAGCAAGGATGAGAAGCATGGGTGGGTCTAAACTGGATAGAGACGCGTCACCAGGGGCAACGCCGCAAACACTGAAGCCATGGTGGCTCGGTTCGTGCCTGTACCACTCCTTTTCTCGATTAAAATGAGCACATGCATACTACTCCAGAAATAACTGAAACTATAAACTAAAAATAAAAACTAGATTTTAGAAAAACAAAAAACGATATTGTGTACTTTTTGTACGAGCAAAATAAATAAATAAAGAAAATATATAGGCTATATATATACAGGAAACTTCTTTAGTTTTGTTCTTGTCAATTTAATACAATTTTTCAACACAACAAGCTTGAGGAGGCATTGGTGCATATGTTTATTGAGATTGGGATGTTCACATGACTGTGAGTTTATGTGTTTGTACTGTAATACCGATTCTGAACTCCTTCTATTCCCCATATTATAGTAAAAAACAAAAAATAACATTGAAACCAAAACAAAAATTTGAAACACATTGAAACAAGGAAACCCACGCTTACTAACTAACTGCAACTAAAGTGAATTGAAAACAAACAATAAAAATTTAATTTACTATATATATATACATAAAATATTATATATACAGAGTGTTTTGCTACATTGTGTCTGTCTTGATTCTATCCAACCAGAATCACTGAAACACCCTAAAGTTGGGTTTCGAGACTACATCTACAGTGACTCAGAGAATGCTTCCATGATGGATATAACACTAAACCAATTAGACTGTGTTTAAACATAAACCAAATCAGAAATGTATCTAAAAATCAACAAATAAAATTGCGTTTAAAAAAGGGTAGAGGGCATGGATGGTAAAGAGAAAAGGGCAGAGACAGACAGGGTACACAACAGTGGGGGGTCAAGCAGGACCATGGCAGCAGGCACTATCCATGAGAACCTGCAAGATGAGAAATCACTCTGTTGAAGAAGTGCATGCATTAATGGGACATAAATGTGTGCAGAAAGAGAGGGAGAGGAAAAGAGGAGCTCAGTGCATCATG